TTAACTGATTTATTGTTTTGTTTGACGTTAGCTTGCAAGGAATCATTTATTATTGATAGAAGCGATATTGAAGAAATTGTCAACTGGACATTGTTTGATAAATTGGCCCGAGTTACGTGCTTACTCCTTCAATATAGCATTAAAATTAGGTTTTTAAAGTACGGAATAAGTTTTGCAAAATACTTAACACCTTGCCAGATTAAAGGCATGCTAAAATGAGTAGGTGAGCGACGCTTTATCATCATGATTTTTAATAGAATTTTTTTTAATTTACATAAATTTCAAGTTATGCAAAGGATAATATGGATAGCAACAAAATTTCAAACTGTTCCGTTTTGTGCAAAAAACCATTATTGTAAAATGCACAAAATTGTCGTGGCTACATCGTGGAGATTAAGCGCCATCGTTACCCTCTAAAGGAAAGGGTAATCGGTATGAGTGCAATAACTACCGTGCAATAAAACTGATGTGTCATACGATGAAGGTATATCAATGGATAATTGATGCGCGTCAAGAGGAGAAGTTATCAAGGCTCAGTACTTGGACATCATCTATTCTGTTTGATGATGGATGCTCTTACTAAAAAGACTCCAACCCTGACACCGTACGATGTCCCGCCAGCTAGAATATGCACTAGGGGAGTGGAAACACCAATTACAAGCAGGTGGCCTAATGTTGCATGTGGCTAAAACCCAATAGATGGTGTGCAATCCAGAGTCACTAAATAGCCTAATTGTTATAGATGGCCAAAAAGTTACCATTAATGAATATTATAATATCTAGGAACTTTGAAAACAAACATTCACCATCGAATTGCTGCAGACTGGCAAAAATGTCGAAAAAGCTCAAGGAACTAGTCAAAAGATTATCATCAGGCCAGTTTTGAACTACGATAGTGAAACCTGGGAGGTAGCGAAATGAAGATATTCCGGTATTTATGCGGCGCAACCAGACTCGACAAGATACGCAGTGAACACATTCGCAGTAGTCTGGGAGTTTGTAACATCGCCGACTAGCTTCAAGAAAGCAGACTGCGCTGGTTTGATATATTAAAAGAAAACCTCCAGAGTACATCAGAAATGTAGTGACCAATCTGAACATTCCGGGATCTAGACCCAGAAGGCCACCCAAAACCAGGTAGACTGATGTGCTCAGACAAGATCTACGTTCCTACAACGTTATCGAAGATTACACGTCGGATAGAGCGAAGTGGAAGTGTAAGAATAGGAAAGCAGACCCCACCATTAGATGGAAATAATTATTGCACAGGAGAGTGAGAGAGAGAGAGAGCTCGTCGTGGCTACGCATCTACAGACCCAGGGTGTGTAGTACATGGGCATGCTGGAGAATCAATTAAAGTAAAGTGAAAAGGTAAGAGGCCCGGGCAAACTCTGAATGCAAATAAGAAAATGCCCTTCGTTGTGGAATTCTTCAGGAGAAACCTTTGATCAACAGAAATATTCCAACTGACGACGATGATGATGATAAAAGTAAATTAACAGTCTTTATATGTCCGACTGCAGTGCAAAGGCCTCCTCTTTTCTGTGGAATAACAAACTTCACATATTTTTTTTCATATTTCGAAAAAATGCAAATTTCCTCACCATGTTTTCTTTCAACGCTGCACACTTGAAAAGTCAGCACTTAAATTTAATTTAATTGGGGCCGTCTACTGGATTTGAACTCGGGTTGCCCGAGTGTGACGCCCGTTAAGTGCAGATATTATGTGTGATTATTAATTCATAATGTTTAGGCTGCGTTTTCGCCTCAGAACAGCAACTGCACAATCATAAAGTGCAGCAGCATGGGTGCGGGAATCGGCCACAACAGTGGGAGATTATTATTTATTTATTTACCCTTTATGCACAAATAGTACGATGGCTAACAAAAGTATACAACCATTGTGTGTTGCCAGTGATGACATACAGAAATGAGATATGCTCCTTCACCGCTGGTGGCTTGTATGAGGAAGGTCAAAGTCGCTCAGCGAGTTATAGAGCGGGCTATGCTCGGTACTTTTTGCGTGATAGAGTTCGCAACGAAGACATCCGCAGTAGAACAAAAGTAACCGACATAGCTCAGAAGGTTAGAAAGCTGAAGTGCCGACGGGCCGGCTATATAGCTCGTAGAACCAATAACTGCTGCGGTAGAAAGGTTTTCGGGTGGCAGCCTCGAACTGGCCATACCAGTGTGCTGATCCCCCACTAAATAGAGTTGATGGATGCAGGTAACTCAGTATCGTGTTTCGTGGCAGTCTGTGGGGGAGGCCTATGGTCAACATGGACTCAAACAGGCTGAGATGATGATGATGATGAATATGAGAAATCGCATCTACCTTATAATTATACAATAAAAACTCAAAGTTTACTTCATTAATGCACAAGTACCGACAGAATAAATCATCACCTTGCTATTAATATATTGTAGGCGCTTGAACATATACAATACACATATAGTTTATATTCCGTTCTTTAGAGAACAACTGCCACAGCATACAGGTTCATTTTATAACCACCGATCAAGTGTAGTAGGACCACACAATAGTGATCGTTGTTGCACGAATGAGCAGGTCCGTCCGGGTTAGTACCAGGACCTCACAGAAGACCGGTGTGAAGTAGAAGTGTTACACTTTTGTATTTTGTCTGATGAGTGAGCTAGTCGGGGCCCACTTTATTAAAAGCGGAAACGCATCAGATATCCTACGGTTGTTGCAAATATCCATGGGCAGTGGTCATCACTTAACATCAGTTGAACCTCTAGCTCGTTTGCCACTTTCTCACATAAAAAAGTCACAGGCAGGCTCTCCCATATAATTAGACGCATTACAATACTATTAATTTTCTTTAAATTTACCTAATATACGGATGTCGATTTTTAGTGAATATATGCAAAGATATGTAATTGACATGATATGTTTATACGTCGTATTAAACGAGCATTTAAATATAATCGAATCTGATTATCAGAGAGCGCGTTCTGAAATGCGGTGTTGACGAGGAGACACCGCTTTACATAATTTGTTAATTCGATGCCCTGGTCTATATTACTAGTCGGGAACTGGGAAGGCCCAAGTTGGCATCCGAGGAAGCTCAAACTCTGAGCCCCCTCATCGACCGTCAACTTATTTAGGGTTGATGGTTTCAAGGAGTCTAGCTTCGAAGGAAAGCCGACAAAAGATCTACTTGGTCGCATTGGTTGTTGGGACCTACTCCCCAACCACAAAAATCATAATCATAATGCATAGAATGCATCACATCATTATAATTATATAAATATATATGTATTAAATTAAGTAACCTTTCACTGCCAATTAGTTATTTAATAATCAATTAACTTTTGAGATCTATCGCAGCGTAAATAACTGACAAGTAAAAAACGATAAAATTAAACACACTAAAAAATAAAGTCAAAAATACTACCCACATACGTAATTAATGTATGTAGGTACAATCATTGTATAAGATACTACTACTACTACCACTTCTATATCTCATTCATTCTTCACTCTGGCAACTGGCAATCTGGCAATAATATCTAATCACGCAACTGCGATTAGATAGTATTGTCGGCGGAAAATGCGTGAATTTATTTGATAGGCATAAACACGTACATTATTAATTTACACAAAATAATTTTATAAATTGCAGTTTCTAGCAGTCTGTTCTATTATAGTTCTTTATACAGAAAATATTAACGAATAGAAAATAACACTACCAAAACTTTCTTTGTTTAAAATATAATAGTATAAATAACAGCCCCTCTGGGCTTGACATTATATTGACTTTTGTGAGACATTATGAACTAAATAATTAAACATTTGAACTCACGTCCAATCGATTTACCTATGTATACTGTACATAAATAAGCCTTGCCACTTTTTATATGACTGCCTAACTTATATTCGTGCAAACTATGATATTTTTAACTTTTCACTTTTTAAATACCTTTTTAATACATGTAAAAGTAATCTGTAGATAATTATTATTATAACTATAAGTATAAACGTTCCCAAAATTATTACGCTTAGTAGTTTCAACTCTAAAAACTCAGCCCATGATATGTTGGCGGTAGGGGCCCGCAAATGTTTTGCTCCTCCATGTCGAAGAACATACTCTATCCACCATAAAGCTCGCTGAAGAGGGGTCTGTGGCTGATCTTGCATCAACGAACGAAGCCGAACAATGTTTTTTCGGTAACTGCAAATAATAAAAATTTCATTAGATGAGAAATGTTGAAAAAAAATTGTTATTTTCTAAAAAAAATTACTAATAAGCAGCAAATAAAAAAAAATGCTACTTATTAGTTTAACTTTGTAGTTATATTGTGTAAGGGCCACGCTGCAGCTTCAACTTTTGGACGAATGGACAGGCTCATCTGAGGAAGCATGGCCCCACAAAAAAACAGCATAAAGTGAAAGTAAAGTACAATACTTTCACTTTATGCTGTTTACTGTTCACTTTGCACTGTATGCCTTGTGGTAAGTGGGGTAACCGGAGCCTTCTTTCCTAATAATTGGCAACGCATCCGCAATCCTTCAGGTGTTGTAGATGTGTACTATATGTCTGAATTTTCCTAAATCAGTTCGATAATAATTCCTACTTGTTATCATTGGGCCAATTTAATTTTTTATGCATAATTTTAATGATCGACAAGCCCATATCTATCCGATATGGGTCCAATATCTATGCGAAATGTGTTTGTGCATGGTTCGACTCAGTTGCATTCGGCGTATTTTTATAAAATATAGTAATGGTCAACGCATCAAAATAGGAAACCTGAGGCAGGTTTGGTAGTTATTTATGGACGGTAGTATTCACTTAACATCTGGTGAACCGCCTGCTAGCTTACACAAAGAAAAATAAAAAAGAACACATTTCAGATGTAAAGGCGAGCCTAAACTGTTCTTACGTGAGATTCTCTTACTATTTCTTAATGTTATAAAAAGGAGAAGTTGAATGGATTTTCAGTATAATAGGAGTTTCATATAGTAAAAGTCATTACCTTTCATCTTCAGCTACTTCGATTATGGCATTCTTTAATAGTTCTTCCGTAAGATTCTCTATGTCTAGTCTGACTCCGATTCCATGATGAACGTATTTCTCAACGTTGTACCATTGATCCCCCAACATCGGTATACCAATGAGGGGAACTCCCGCGGTAATTGCTTCATCTGTAGATTGCAACCCCCCTTGAGTTATGAACAGCTTCACGTTTGGATGTCCTGGAAATATTTAAATTATGTAGAATTTAGCAGGCACGGAAAACAAAACATATGTTTTCTAGTGTTGATTCTGAACTTCTGACGAGAATAATTAGAACATAGTTTTTTTTAAGGTTACAAAATTCTCAATAATGTATGCTGAACAAATAATAGAGATTGTTGAAAATATAAAACGTTAGTAAATACCCTATCTAAACAAAGTGATAATAGTAATGATACCCTAAATGGAATAGCTAATTAAAATTAAAATTTAGATTACTGTGGTTACGAATTTGTGTTGCATAGATTATTCAATGCCCTAAAAAGAGAATTTTTAACCGACTTCAAAAATAAGGAGGCTATAAATTCTAATGTTTATATTTTTTATGTTTGTACGGCATAACTCCGTCATATCGATGGCTCCAAAGTAAACGGCCCCAAGTTAAAAAAATCAAATATTACAGGAGAGTAGTTTAAAGTATTCAGAACGGTATTTTGCGTCGAATCTTGTAAACTACTGAAGCAAATTTTTTTGAAATTTTGCAATAAGTATTGACATATCGTGTTATTTATCATGCTGAGACTATTTTTTGTGTAATTTAAATATATTTCGAAATCATTCGGCAATTTCGACTTTTTACATCGTTCATTTTCTTTTATTAATCTTTTATTATTCGACGTAAAAAGGCTTTTTTGATCTTCCGCCCATATACGAGAATCAGTATTAATAAGTTAACGTAAGTAAGACCTAAGAAATGAGAGCCTTATCTTAGTTAGTCCAACACAGTAATATTCGTTAAGTATGAAATTTGTAAAATATTTTTCTTAAGTTACGAAAAATAATATGATGTTTAAAAAAAAAAGGCGCATATGATATAACGAAAACCGAACTACATAAAAAGGCAGATGGTATTTTACACGTCTCTACGAGGTTTTCAGTAAATTAATAGTTATAAAGATAAATTTCGTGTTAATGAAATAAAATTTTTAATAACTCATTCTCACTCATTTCACTCACTAATATAGTGTTAATATATTTGTTAATAAGTAAATATATAACTATATCTAACCTGGACATTCAGTATCATTATTTTAGTTACATGGCTCGTCATCGATGCTTAAATCAATGCTGTTGTGTTTATTTATGATTTTATTTAAAATTTTTTGGGCTGCCGCAAATTGCACACCTTTTTTGGTATCATTTTCGTTTAAACCAGCTAAGTTATAAATTAGTTTTCGCTAGCAAGGCAAGATCATAGATATTATAAAACAATCGCAAAAAAACTGAGTAAAACGACTAAAGCGGTACCTGCGCCCCTTCGCCACATCTCCGACGCGATTACTCTACGCCGTACATACACGACTAATTTGTGCACATACTTATTTGCCTAAAATTTAATTTTAGATTCAACAAGATTTTTTTTTTTTGTTATTTTCGTAGGATAGGGCAAATTAAACTTATTGCTTAAATAATTGGAAAAAGGCTTTAGCGGCAGTTTCGCCCCTTTACGTCGGAGCCATCGACATATGTATAGACGGATTTGTAAAATTCTTTAATTGTTCGAATATAGATGATGATGAGTTTCGGAGATAGACAACGGAACTCATCAAAAACTGACATCAAATCAACCGCGATTGCTGCTATCGGATTAATATATATGCATTGTTTTGCGTAATCATATGACATAACATCACGTCTGTAAACTCGAAAAGGTTAAGCAGATATATTAAGTACAGCTAAAAACGCGACAACAATGCATTTACACATTTAATACACTGTTTTCGCGTTCTCAGCTAGCATGTGTGCATTATAATCGTCTACTTGCCTGACAGTTGAGCGCCAGTCGCACTTTCAATTCGCCTACGCAATTTGTAATCTTTGTAAATTATTGTATAGCCAAAGGGAATTAATTGTTTATTAGATAACCATAGTATTAATTGTTGTTTTTTTTAGTAAGGTGGTATCGTGGTAATGGTTGTACCATTACCCATAGTGAACGACGGCACCCAATCCAAAACTCGTTAAGTTTTGTTCGAGGTTAGGTGGTGTAGGTTATAAATCTAAGATATTCCAGGTTTGATTATATCATATTTAGTATTGTTACAAACTTTTTAGTGCAAATGGAGATTTTTGAAGTCGGTTCTTTTTTGTTAAAAACTTTTCATACAAGTGATAAGAAATCTAAACGGCATAGGTAAGGAACAAAAATGACTCACGGTCCATGATCACGATAAGTAATAGTACCTAATAAAGCGCTAATATACATACTTAAGAGATCAGACTGTGGTAACCATTTGGACATTTTGATATTATTAGCATTCGCCTCAAAATCTTCGCTATCCCATTTCCATATGACATTATACGGTAGTTGCGAAAATACGTTCTTAAAAATTGCAATCGTTTCCGGCGGTAGCAATGACGGTTTGACGTTGGTTCCGAAACTAAAGTATATCACCCCATTCTTTGAAGCGTCAAGGTATTTCTGAAGATCCTTAAACATAATTCTTCTGTAAGTGTTGCTTCACTGAATGATAATTTAGAAAACATTATGAGCGTACTGTTGAAAAGTTCAATATAAAAAGTTATGTGTTTAAATAATTATATTTTATATAGTAACTTTCCATGCTTTCTTTTTGAATAAAAATTAATCTTGTTTAAACTGAATAAAAACTAAACATAAAATTACTTCACAAACACACTACTAACCTTTGGTAACGCCTTTTGTGGGTTCTGATGCAATCCACCTAAATGAATAACATTGGGTGGCACTGGATAACTTCCCTCCCAAATTGGATTTATGTTTAAAAATAACATATCAACACTGTTTCTTAAAACACTGAGTGATGGAATATCAGATCCAAATAAATTTCGCAGTAACTTATTCTCATTATCCTCGTTACGACTTATAATGTATTTAATTTGCAGGTAGTTAAACAATTCCCTTAACTTTTCCCAAAATGATAAATTATAAAGGCGTTGTCGAAAATAGTTATGGTAAATAGTCGGATGTGTCGGTGCTCCTACCATCTCATAATTACCTGGGAACGGTCCAAAGGAGCTGACCAAAATTGTGGGAGCGTCAAATATATATCTTATACCCAGTGCTGGAGCAAAGAATGATTCTACCAAGAGTAAATCAAACTCTTTTTTTTTATTTTGAACTAAGTCTTTTAATTCCTTGACTTTAAACTGCTCTTGAAGGACATTAATACCAAAATGCTGAATTACCTTCACTTGACTTATCAAATCGTAGGTCATATTACCGTTTGTAACAAGAAGATTCATTAGCACCTCATAAGATACGTCATGTACGTCTATTTCCGTTAAATTAGCCGGTTTTTTGTCATCTTTAAACATAGGATCTGTAGTTATCACTGTCACTTCATGTCCTCGTTTAATTAATTCCAGTGTAAGTGGCCGAAAAACTACTTGATGACTTATAGATGGAGTTGGATAATACGCTAAAACTCTTGCTGTCTCCGTGTGGATTATATTTGCAAATAAAAACACAATGCATGTTTTTGTCCCTAACATTGTCAATTTTAAATAGACAAATGATTTGAGTTAAGATTTTGTGTATCGAAAAAGCCTTATATATAATTATGATGACCTAAATACCAGATAAGAAATAATACCTGATACAGGATAAGAAATAATACCTGATAAGGCACTAATATACATGCTCACGAGATCAGACTGTGGTAGCCATTTAGATATCTCGATAGTATTAGATTTCAGACCAAAGCTTTTGTTGTTCGCAGTAAAACATAGGTAACTGACATGGCTAAGATTTGTAAGTAGATGCGGCAAGAACTGCAAACCGATGGATAAGATAGGTTCTCGAGTGGCAGCCGCGTATTGGCCATGACAGCGAAAGCTCCCACTAGATGAAACTGTGCAAATGTGCAGTCAATAGATACAGATGAACAGGGTCATGCTTAATGGCAGTCTATGGATAAGGCCTTTGTTCATCAGTCGTCTCGAACAGGCATAAATAATTATGATGATGATGCGGCCTCGGTTTCAACATAACGGTTTATGTGTGTTAAGGACATAGTGAAACTTTTTCCATACTTTAAAACTCAAATAAAAATGCTATATGAAAGGAGTGATATCGTAGTTCGAAATTACGGAAGATGTTGTTCTGAAGCAGTCTGCAACAGTGTTGCAGAATTTACATGATTTTAAATGCAAAAGCAAAACGACAAAATTAGAAATTAAATACTGAATTTACTTTTTTATATAGTGACAAGTTGACAAGCGAGCAGGCGGTTCACCTGTTGTTAAGCGAATACCGCCGCCCATAGACATGCTACACCCGAGGTTTGCAGATGCGTTGACAACCTTTTGAAAATTGGACTACGGCTACCTCACTCACCAAACGAAACGCGAAAGTATTATACTTCCACTTTACGCCGGTTTTCTGTGAGTTCATGTTACTTACCCAGACGATCCTACCCATTCATGCAACAGCCGAGGCAGCTGGGTGGCCCTACCACAGTTACACAGACCTACCTCACTAAACTTGACTACAATACTAAAATAATTATCAAGAACAAATTTATTGCTAACCATGAATGATTTCCAGGAATAGGAGTTTAAATTGTTTAAATATGTTCCTAAGAATAATACTAATATCAATCATGTAAAGAGTAAAGATGTATAAAATTAGTGTAAATAATTACTATTTGTAACATTATACAATAAACCCATAATGATGTATGAAAGTATGTGATTTCTAAAAGTTATTTGAGGAACTTATAAAAAAGAATTACTTAATAGTATTACTAGTTTCGGATTCTTTTACCATTTATCAAAGCCATTACGATTAAAATTTGATAAGGACCAACATTTCCTATCTTTTAGTTAGCTTGAGTAAAAACATTACTATAATTTATTTGCCTCTATGCAATTTTTAATTTAAGAAAAACACATTTCTGTATTGTAATAATGGGCTCATGTATGCAAATGCAATAATGGGCTCTTAGACAACTAATATTAAAAGTCTTTTTATTTATTTTTCTATTTTCACCTTGAAAGTCTCTTTACATGACTTTCTACACTAGATGTAACTTAATTTTATCAAGCACTAGCGACCATACCCGGCTTCGAACGGGTGCAATGTATTATACATATGAACCCTTCTTTTGAATCACTCTATCTTGTAAAAAATCCGATCCACTGTGTAGTTTTAAAGATCTAAGCATACTTAGGGACAGACAGGAAGCGGGGAAATTGACCTTTAGGTATTATTACGAATCTTTTGTACTTTTGACTTTTACAGGCAATTTTTTTTTCTTTCATAAAACCTTCTCCTCATAAAAACGAACACAACAAAAAAAGTGAAACCGGTCCAGCCGTTCACGCGTGATGGCGTGACCAACGGACGTAGGGATTCATTTATATATATATATATATAGATTAAAAAGCCAAAAGTCACCTCTTATGACATGATGAAGATATACTTTATTTATTATATGAGTAATATTTAAACACTAATCTACACACTTTTTCGTAATCCTTATATCTTCAATTATTATTTTTTTATATCTTTATCTTGCCCGATCTATGGCTACGGAAGATTATTCAAGATATTGAAGCCTGACAGTATTCATGTGCTTTGATTTGATCACGTGATCCTAAGCTTATCGTAAGACCCAATTTTATGTATCGGAATAAATAATGATTTTAATTTAAATAGGCTTGCAACTCATTCTTCGAAAGAGTCGTGTTTATTGAATAGGATTTTTAGATTTTTTTTGTGTAGACAAAGATTCAGGCTTTATTAAAAAGCGGTGATATGTGTTCCTTAAGGCGTAATAATATAGCATGTTATTTGTTAATTTGTAGGAATTGATTGACATTCTGTAGCCTAACAGCCAGGTTTTCGTTGTCACAGAGCATAATTAAACTAAAACGTACATAAACCGTTTTTTGGTGAATTATTGGCAATTCCAAAAGTCTTGTTACATCTCAAAATGAATTTAACGTGAGAAAATTTTCAGTTCATGATTTGTTACGACTTTCGTTGTGTTCTTACTGCTGTGATTGGCTTCGGATTGACATTTAATAATGAAACCCCAGCTCGTGCATGATGTTTATGTGTAGTAGTCACTACTTTCACCCATGGTTACCTATGTATTGCCAAAATTATGCCCAAGTTATGCTCATTCAGCGGACAAAATGCAGAAGTATAAGATTTCCAACTCACGCTGGCCCTTTTCTTTAAGTCTTCCGTGTACTTCCTCGGAAGAGCCAATCAAATATATAGAAGCACTCCAAACAAAAACATAACATATTTATATGTTATGTTTTTGTTTGGAGGATTTTATACACATTATAAAATCAAGATGTAAGTGAAACATTTTTCGGATCTTAGGTAAAATAATTAATAATTTATACAATTGCTTCACGGCCTAGCTGATGCGAGGGGTGAATATAGTGGATATTGGCCTTGGCTGCTATGCTGAGTGCCTTTCAATTTACCCTTACAAAAATACTATTAAATACATTATCACATGAGTAATGGGCAACGAGAGCTTGACAGGATATATGTTTGATCACGACTAGATTCGTGGTGAAGAAAAACGTCGTGAGGAGCCCTGCATTTTTTTAATGTCAATAATAAAATCAAATATATTAAAAGTACATTTACTTTAAATAATTTTGATTGTCCTAATACGGAAGATGTATTTGTAACTTGGGTCATTTTATCTCCAAACTGTTCCATTACTTGTAGTACCTCATCGCTAGCAGTATTTCCGACGGTGGCACCCTGAACATCCGGGGATCAAGAAAATCTGGCCAGAGAAATAAAATGCATAGAAGGACCGCATTGATCCCTAGACCGCTGACCTGCAATGTCACACACGACCGAAAATAGCAGAGCGAGTGTGGAGAACGAGTGACTCATCACGCTCCAGCCCCACTGTAATCTAATTGGTTAAGTGAAGCGACGAAAGAAACTTTAGAGTTGTAGAGTATCTTGTGTATCTTGTATTAACTGATGTTTGTGCTTTCAGTCCAGAGACTATTAAAGCTTCACCTGACGCAGAACCGGTGGGCTAGCCAGAACCCACGGGTTTGGGCCCTCCGCTGTGGGTAGGGCCGCGCATGTGCTCATGCGTGCGTTTAACTACCGAGAGATGATGAAGATGGCCGTCGACTATGTTTTTAGCTAATCGGTGACTGGGGGCGGTGAGAACCGCCCTGGAACGCGGGTGTACCTTGTGTACGCGTTGTGTTGGTCTCGCCGTGCTCGGAGGCGAGGGCGAACTAATGTGTTTGTTGCTACACTAACTGTGTGTGTAGTGTTATCCGGCGGGACCCCCGACGGTGGGTCCGACGTACCTAAGTCCCCTTCCTCGACCGGGTCGATGAGGACGTTTCGCGGGCGACGCTTGTTGACGTTCGCGTTTGGATCGGGTTGGTAGTTTGTTGTTGTTGTGAATGTGATGTGACCCGATCCACAAACCATTAGTCGGAAGTCTTTTGACGACTATCATTAAAAATATTACATCAAGTTGAATGCTACTTTGAATTTTTGACATTGTTATGAGTTACGTTTTAAAGTTACACAGGTATACGCTCGGAGTTATTAGAAGCAAAGGTAGTTGAATGTCAATAGTATGCAATTTTATGACGCAAACAACACACACAAAAATAAAATGCAACATAAACACATTTTTCCCAATTATTGCATAATTAATTGAAATGCTGTGTAATTTTACTGCATTACTTAAGGTTAATAGATAGAACAATTACACTTAATATGTAATTGTTGTATATATTAACACGTATTAACTAGTTTTATCTATTAACATATACATAACGAGGGAAATCTTTAACTGAAGATTTGCTTTGTCATGCATTATACGTTTCGGCATGACATTCATTCTTATTCAGATAGCATAACACTTGTCAACATATAATTAATATATAAAGCTAACATTAGAACACACACTATTAGTGTACAGTCTCTAGCTCTTGAACCATGTTAGTGATAAAGTTATCGCTGATATTTTTAATGTCATTCGAGAAGGTGACTCGCGTCAAAACAGCAAGAATTTTAGCATATTATCCATGTCCATCTATTAGTCATCAAATAGTTTTTCGACCAATAACAAGTGAATTAGTAAAAACTGGACATCAAGTGACAGTGATTACTCCTGATCCAATGTACTCGAAAGGCAGTTCCCCTGAAAATCTAACTGAAATCGATGTACACGACGTATCGTATAGTATTGTTAAGAAATATTTTACTACAGCCGTCACTGGTAAGCAAACTGATTTAATAAATCAGGCAAATATTATAAAGCAGCTCGCTCCAGTATTCTTTGAAGAACATTTCAAGGTACAAGAAGTTAAGGCTTTATTGCAATATCCAAAAGGACACTTTGATTTATTATTGCTAGAGGCATATTTCACTCCAGCATTAGGGTTGACACACAAATTTAATGCGCCTACAATTTTGGTCAGCTCGTTCGGAGCATTTCCAGGTAACTATGAAACAGTTGGTGCACCAACGCATCCCACAATTTATCATAATATTTTTCGACAAAGACTTTACAACTTAACTTTGAGGGAAAAATTATCTGAAATCCTCAACTACTTTAGAATTATACACATAATAAATGAAGGTGAAAAACACGAGAATAAAGTACTGCAGAAAGTATTTGGTCCTGATATTCCACCTATTGATATATTAAAAAATAATATTGACATGTTGTTTTTAAATATAAATCCTATTTGGGAAGGAAATTACCCAGTAAGCCCCAATGTGATACATATGGGTGGATTACATCAAAAACCACAAAAGCAACTCCCAGAGGTAAATATTATTATGGTCTTTTTTTAAAGGATATCATGTTTTTTTTTTTATTTAAATTAAACTGTATAATAATTATGTAATTATGTAGTTGTATAAACATTGTATTATATTTCTCAAAAAAAAAAAGGTTCCGTAAAGAAAATAATGTTTTATGTCTAAAGGATTTTGAATATTGATGAAAAAATTGCAATTTGTAGATTGTAATTATATAATATTGCGGTAAATCTCAAAGACAAAAACAAAATTTCTTTTTGCAATTGCCTATTAGCTTAATAAAACTACCACCGGTTCACTAAACTAAACCTGTCTAGAGAAGAACTGGCAAGAAAATATTCCGTCTTTTTATCTTATACCTATATACCTAATGGTTTTTAATTAGTTATATAATAATAAGTAATATTATATTTAAATAAAAAATAGTTTATCTTTTATCTATGCTTTATTAAGTTACATAAGTTTATAAGATTATTTGTTTACAAAATTAACAGCAGTCAGAGGATTTACAAATGCAGAGCAAGAGTCATTTCCAAAAATCCTTATGATCAATGTATTCTTCGACATTGTAATAGACCCTTTGCTTTTAGGTAGCTTTCACAAAATGTTTAAACTTGTTTATACATAGGTATACCTAGTAGTTGTAATCTGAAGCTCGTTTAACATTTGAATAATAAACGTGTCAAATTATAATTGTTTATTTTTTAAAACTTAAATTGGAGTGGAGTTTAAAAAATCATAGGCTTCATACTAGTGTTGTGTATGGCTGGAAAAAGAAATCAACGGTTTAACTAAAATATTAAAGTACACTTATTTATTTCCAGAATCTGCAGAGTTTCCTTGATGCTTCAAACCAACGGCGTGATTTACTTTAGCTTCGGGACTAATGTTGATCCTTCTTTATTGCCATCTGAGAAAATAGATATTTTCAAAAAAGTTTTTTCGCAATTGCCGTATAACGTCATATGGAAATGGAGCACACAAAATCTTACAGCACAATCTACGAAAATTAAAGTATTTAAATGGCTACCACAATCTGATCTTCTGAGTATGTTTCAATTCCATTAACTAAATTATAGAACAATTAGATAATTAGGTGATTATTACAAAAATCTGTATTTGTACCGCTTCATTTACGAAACTGATACTATTGTAAATTACGGCGTGTTTAATTTAATTACTTATTTAAAAAAAATTGCAGCGTGTTTGTACTTATATTTAAAATCTGGACAGATAAAAGGTTACAGTTTGACACTGTTTTTCCTATTTTTATTTTCATTTATCATCATTTGGTTAATAAATAAGTTGATAATTATTTTTAAATAAATAAGAAAACATACTTATAAATCTAATGATAACCACAATTTTAGATAAAGGACTTTCTGGCATTTTTCACAATTTGAAAATTTTATTTTCATAATCAAATAAATCAAAACCCTGGGACTAATTGATGATTTTTTGCAGGGCATCCAAATGTGAAAGTTTTTATAACACAGGGTGGGTTACAATCTACAGACGAGGCAATTACTGCTGGAGTTCCACTTGTGGGGATTCCGATGTTGGCGGATCAATGGTATAACGTTGAGAAATATGTTTACCACAAGATAGGAGTAAAGCTCGACTTTGAGAATCTTACAGAAATTCAATTAAGAAAAGCCATTATTGAAGTGGCTGAAAATAAAAGGTAACGATTTACATTTCTCACTAGTTCTTTTTTTCTATCATTACCTACCTTTAAAATATGTAGTAAAAGTGCGAAAAAATTGTCGCCGCTGTGGGAATCGAACCCACGTCTTCGGCATTCGCGGCCTGACACTCTAGCCACTGATCTAAACGGCCGATAGCCACACTGACGAAAATCTTAACATCTTTTATCTACATTACCTACCCCGTTACAAATTCCTGAGCTCTTGACGAAATTTTAATTTAATTTTTGCAGCTACCGAAATAACATTAAGAAGCTTCGTTCTCTAATGCAAGATCAGCCGCAGACCCCACTTGAGAGGACTACTTGGTGGATAGAGTATGTGCTTCGGCACGGTGGAGCCAAGCACTTACGGGCACCAGCCGCGAATATGTCGTGGTCTGAATTTCTGGAACTTGAACTTGTCAGCGTCATAATATTGGTAGTTCTTGTGTTATTGGTATTGATAATTGCAATCATTAGGATTTTTATTTTTTATGTTTCGAAAAATGGTTTATTTAATACAAAATTAAAAAAATTATAAGTTTCGTCCATTTTCTTAGTTGTTTTATTTTAATTTCAGTACTGAAACCTTTATTCAAGTATACTACAAGCTTTTTGAAGATTTCCGTCTTGTTTGTACTAGTTACATTACCTACGTACAGTGGAACACTGTGGAAGGAATTTAAATAATATTCAAATAACATTTTAAGTAGTAAATCGTCTCAATTGGTAGCAGTATGGAAGTGTATATTTTTATTTGTATGAAATTTCTTTACAGTACGAAAATTATATGTGGATTTCCGTAACTTTTTCAACATAAACTTTTAGGTCAATACGATTGTGTAGTAACATTGATCGCCGTCTGTTCATATTTTAGCAAAGGGGGCATTCCACACGAAACGGACAGCGCTTCACGTGAAAGGCCCCAAAGGCCAAAGCTAGCAATATCAAAAATTAACTGAAATTCTAATTTTAAATAACAGTAGATATTAAAATTACGTTTAGTTATTGAAATTAAAGAAATACCTTTTGTCATGTAACACTGTTTTTATTGCAGCCTCCAAAATCTCTTCCATTAATGTCATCTCACAAACTAAAACCCCACGTTATTTCGACCAGCTACTCAAATGAGGGGTACAACGGGATCTCCTTTCGTACCTACCGCGGATCTTCGTATGGCTTAGTAATACCAATCCTCGCAGGGATAAGACTGTCGTAATTCTGCTTCATCCATGCATAATAAATATCATATGCAATAATAAAATATCTTTAAAGGGCCATGAAGAGATGCGCGAGCGACTGCGGCCCCGCCTCCGGGTGGGCGCTCTCTCTCTCTCGCTCAAGCCTCCTTCTGGAAATTTTCTCACAGAAATTGGCTACGGCCCTCCATCGTATCTTACAGCATCGCCGACACGACTGCTTAGAGCGAGGTCCCTCCGACTTCGCCCGTATTTAGAGCGTTCCGATTCCCACGCCGGTATTTTTAATATGGAATTTATTCCGATTTATATTTTAAGTCGCTTTAAGCTCGGTAGGAAACAAATTAAGTAAGAAACTAATTTTCAAAAGTTACCAATATTTATTGTCTAAAAAACGGAAGTTTTAATACATTAGACCATTCAAAGACTGGGTGGACATGTTCGTCAGGCAACGTCTAATACAATATCTCAATGAAAAACTTTCTTAATACGAAGTTTTTTTAAAATGCTTACGAATATATATTACTTTTAGTGCTAGTCGATGCACTCAAAATGACACTTTAAATATCGTCCCGAGAGATCGTAGGCCACTCATCAGCCATCAGAAGGCACAGTTTCGATCCCCGCATCGCCGAATTTTTTTTTTTTTTCATTTATATACAAAACTTCAAGTAAAGCTGAGTATCAAAAGTTACATTCGGAAGTTTTCATTTATGCACAACGTCAGGCAACGTCTAATACAATATCTCAATGAAAAACTTTCTTAATACGAAGTTTTTTTAAAATGCTTTTATATTAGTTTTAGTCTAGACACTTTAAAACTCATTGTTTCCTTACATTTTTTTTTTTTGTCAATATACAAATCGTCATATAAAAGTATCAATAATATGCACAACTCTTACTCAGAATGCTTCTAAGTTAAATAAATAATTCTTATCGTCTTCTATATACATAGATACATACATAGAGGCTTAGTATCCTGAAGTGAGGCAGGTTGTATCATTTGTTTGAGCCGCAGACCAGATTCGGTTCATCTTTAGTCAAAGTTGTATTTATACAAAAAGCAATGAAATACTGTGACCATATTTTACACTATAATACCAACTAATTTTTGCCAGGTTTGATAAATCTCCAATCATCGCTCACTTTTTATGTCTATTATTAAAAAGACGTAAGATTTCGATGGGCTTCAAAGCTTCGAATATAACCAGCAGTTGCTTATTTTAGCGTGGTAAAGCAACATCGTAAGTAACAACTCTAGTAATTTAACTCGACTGGAAATCCTTACAAAAAATAGGCGTAAGGTAAAGTTATATATGTAACGCACTCTGAGGGTGACATAACTGGAGGACCACATTGTCAGTGGTTGGCAAAATGCTTGCAATATCATGGTGTTGTGAGAGCCAGTAAGTGGCTCACCCTTACTTAAAGAATAAAATGAATCTTTAGGCATTTGTTTATTTTTCTTCCAGAAACACGCCTTCTCTTGAGGGAATCAGTCTGCCGGATTTGTGGTATTTAAAAAGATATGTATTTTGCCTTTAAAGCCTCGAAACATTAGCTGCCACACTTAGGATTTTTTCTGGCTCTAACGGCTTATCTCCTATCTTCAAGACTGTTTTCCATGGCTGGCAAAGCATATGCAACCCATCAGTCAGTCATGATGTCAGTCATCATCAAAATCGGTTAATCCAGTCGAAAGTTCTGAGGTAACAAACATAAAAAAACAGTGGAATTAAGAACCCTCTCCTTTTTAGAAGTCGGTTAATAAATGCTCTGTGGCAATTTGAAAGGGGTCAATCAGTCGGTCTGTCTCGGTATTATGGCTATCGGACTGACATAGATCCGCTGTTATCTACACGCAGCTATATGACGTACACGCATACAACATCCACGCCTTCAACGCTGATAAGATGATAAGAACAATTATCCTATATGACATCCACACAAACTCGTTGTGCAGTTTTAAAGATCTAAGCATACATAGGGACAGACAGACAGCGGGGCGACTTTTTTTTATAGTATGTATTGATAGTGGTCACATAAGCCTTTACAATAATCTATACTGTGTACTATATTATAAAGAATCTATACTACATTATAAAGAAGAAAGATTTGATTGTTTGTATGTATTGAATAGGCTCCGAAACTACTGAACCGATTTGAAAAACTCTTTCACTGTTGGGAAGCTACATTATTCCCGGTTGATAAAGGATGTATTATATTTTTAAAAAAAAATAGAGATCCTTACTAAAACTTCAATAATGTAACCCAATGTATACAAAATTTAGCTAAAATACTCTTTACATCGCGTGCGCTGCGAAAACTATTGATGATAGAATAAAATTATTTACAACGAATTTGCAGAACACATCGTCAGTTGTAATATCAATTAATGTAACCGCCAAAATGACGAAATTGAGTTAAATATACAGTTCGACTGCAAATTTTTCGCTCTATCGATTGGTGGCTTTGAAATCTCGATATGATGAAAAAAATGTCGATTACTTTAAAAAAAAACCCGGCTGTTTTTTCTCATTTTCACTCATTTTTGTGATGTATGTTACATTCTATGAGAATGACCAAAGTATGGGTTAATGTAACGACAGGTTTGGTATTACTTTTTAGTGTATTGACCTAACGTGAAAGAAAGTCGGTAACGTAAGAGTCAATTTTTTAAAAATTGTACAAAATATAGTAAGTTTTTAGAAAATTGACTTTTACATTACTTGTTTTGTTTTAGAACACAACTTTCTGGCTGTTAAATTAACTCACCGTTACAACTGTTACAGCCCCAAATACACAAAAAAATACTTTTAAGATAAAGGCTACTTTATTGTGTGTATGCTCGTAAAAATTTAATAATTTATTTTGCATTTTCATTTAAATAAGCTAGAAAAGATCTCAATTAATATATCCCGATTTTTTTATGCTATATTTAATAGCATAAAATATAAGAATAGAAAAAGGGGTAGTTGCGAAATAGGAACATGCTTATACAAATACCTCCTCGACATTGACAAAAGAGGAGCAAAATATGTAATTTTCTATTGTGATTCCTAATGGTGTCAAATAAAAAACAAAGTTATACTGAGATACGAGCGTGTTTAAATATTTCCTGGAATATTCAAATAATGTTCAAGTGGTACAAATCAACTATCTTTTGCCTGGACACAGCTATATGCCAGTAGATTCTATGCATAAAGTCATCGAACGAGAGGTACGGAAACTCATTGTGTGGAGTCCTGCACAATGGCCAATTTTTATGCTTGCAGCACGAAAAATACCACGTCCTTATATTGTAATTACCTTGGACCACACTGATTTTATGAATTGGCAGATTATTGCCGAACAGATTTTCACGCCTAAAACGACATCCAACCCAAACTTTAGAATGAAGGATGTTAGAATCGCTACAATTAAAAAAACAAATTTAAATGAAATGGAAGTTACATATACAATGAAAGAGGACGATGACATTTTCAATATTCCATTGAGTCAAGGAATGAAAACTGTAACAGGGAAGGCAAAGGGAACAAAAAAAGGAATAGGAAAAAGAAATAGCAATAAAGTCTGTGATCAAACCCGACTTTTGCAAAAACTTTATGCACAGCGATTGCCAATTTCTAAAAAAAAATATATGGACCTTAAAAAACTCTGCGATGATGAGGTTATACCTAAGCAGTATAAACATGAGTACTTACATCTGCCTTTTATAGAAAAAAATGACTATTTGGATGACATTATTCAACAAGGGGATGATCTTACAAGTGAAAATGAAACCGAAGAACAAAGCGGAACAAAAACACAAAGTGATTACGATACAAAATTGAACGTACAGTCTTATGCAAACGAGGCAGAAAATATAGAAAAAGCGGTGAAAGAGAGTTTAGAAAAAGCTGGGAAAAGAAAAATAAAAAGAAAAAAGGAAAATAATAAAGGAAAACATAATAATCGGAAAGGGAAAGCTAACAGCAAAGGATTTTAGTCACGTTTTAGTATGTTTCATCCACAAACCGTTAGATTATATTAGATAAGAATGATGTTATATTAAGGATTTGATTTGGTTTTTGTAAAGTTTTGATTCCGTAGCTATTAATCAAACAGTTTTAGATTTTCTTTCTACACACATTAATTCAAAGTAAAATTTTCTACTCTGCTTCTAATAATTTAAGAAATATCCAACGAGTATGTCGTTGTTAGCTTCTCAGTTATACTATGTTTTTATCAAAGCTAAAAGCTGTTTTTGTTAATCGTTATTCTGATTGTTATCTATATTATCCCATAAAAGTTAGGACTCATGTTTTCTGTTAATTTTTACGAAATATTGGTAAATTTTGAATTGTTTTTTAATCTTTAAATTATAGTAGTCAATTACTAACTCCGCATATGTAACAAATACAATGTGAAAGAGATAGAACACTTTCTTAATAATTTAATTGTTCCTCTTGAAGACTGATTGATTGTTTGATTGTATGATCTCAATAAGGACTTAATATTTTATGTACCAAAGAATGGTAATTAAAGTTAATTTTGTATAAAAGCAATTGTTTTATTCATAAAAAATAAACTTAACTAGAATTAATAAAAAGTTTATTCTAAACTAAACCTTATTTTAAGGGAATACGTATGTAACTCCTAGTCTATAAGTCACGATGTATGTCATTGTCTTAAAAACTGTGTGATATACATTAAATATTAATAAATAAATCGCGATATACGTTACGCTGTGTTGTATACGCTGTGATATACATTAAATATTAATAAATAAATCGCGATATACGTTACGCTGTGTTGTATACGCTGTGAGTTACGTTATGGCTGTTACTATTTATTTCAAAAAATCTTAACGTAACGTGAAATAAAAATAAAAAAATTAACGTAACCACCATGCCATCTGCGAAACTATACTAGTAGGCTTCTTATGGTTTCTTTCAGATAGCAGATGTCAGAATTTTCATAAAAATGCTCCAAACCGCATTCCGATAGGATAAATACGCAAAAAGTTTCAACTCTTTTTGTGAATTGTAATTTAGTTTTTTGCCTCTCCTGTAAAGTCGCTTTTTGGCGGTTACATTAATTGATATTACAACTGACGACATGTCTAACTATTATAGTTATGCCACAATAAATGCAGCCGCTAGAAAAGGCTCTTTATTTGTATCTTGGTACTAATCCTGCTAAAAATGAATTACTTCATATTTAAGACTGTTTCAATATCTTTATATAACTTTTTGAATTATTCAATTCGGACATTCCATTCGAAAGATATCACAAGTTTAAAAATGTTAGTATATTGCATTTTAACTATCCAAACAGCTTAGTGACTAACTTAGTAGTTCTTATAATTTTTCAATCACATTTATGCTGGTAACTCCTGTTTAACAGTTAGCAAATAATTAAGTAAAAAGGCAGTTTAATTTTTTTATCATTTTAAAATGCCCAAAAGATCAAGATCTATCTTTCTAGAAATAGTTCTCAGGCGAGGGTATCAAAAATACGTCGTAATGAGAAGGCCAATAAAATATCTTTTGACAAATAATCATTCACCATATGGATATTTTTAACCAACATCCGAAAGTGCAATAGTCTCTTTCAAATGATTTCGTTTGGCACGTACTTTTAAAATAGAGGGACAACTATACAAGTCATCATTATCCTCCTGCCCCTATCCCACCTAGGTGGGGTCGGTACAACATGAATCATATTGTAAGCGGTTTTGGCTATATTTTTACAACCAGCCGCCTGTTGACTGAAGGACAAACAGACAGCGGAGTCTTAGTGATAGGGTCCCCCGTTTTACCCTTTGAGTACGGCATCCTAAAAAGGCCCCAGAGATATAGTGTTGCACGGTAGACACGGCCAACTTAAAAGGGTCTCTGAGTTACACCGATTGTATGATCTACTAAATAGGCGTAATAGGAAAAGTCGGTTAATATTTGACTATTCCTCAGCAAGGTACTGTACGTAACAAAACTGTGACATACATGGAATTTTATGCATTTAGGTTGATGGTTAGAGCTACCTGTTTTAATCCATTGCATTATTACTGGGACTTATTAGGGTTCCGTACCCAAAGGGTAAAACGGAACCCTATTACTAAGACTCCGCTGTCTGTCTGTATGTCCGTATGTCTGTCCACATGTCACCAGGCTGTATCTCATGAACCGTGATAGTTAGCAGTTGAAATTTTCACAAACGATGTATTTCTGTTGCCGCTAAAAACAGAAAAGTATACATAAGTGGGGCTCCCATAAAACAGACATGGTTTTTTTGCCGTTTTTATAGACAATGTTGACAGTAGTAGTGTTTTTGACAATATGTAAGTGTAATACTTTTATATTGCATAAAGATATTAAAACATGCTTTTTTAAAGTGATAAAGTGGCAAACGAGCTGGCGGTTCACCTAATGTTAAGTAATAACCGCCGCCCATGGATATTTGCAACACCTGTAGGGTTGCAAATGAGTTGCCATCTTTAAATAAAGTTGGCCCCGTCTACTTTTTGGCGGCTTTTTTTACGAACCTCGGAACCATTATCTGGTCAGCGGTCTTTCGATCTTCATGACGTAATTTCAAGGATATTTCATTAAAAGATGAAGAAACTCGTAGAATTATTCATCAAAGACGAAATATTCGGAAGGTTTTATGTGTGTGTATGGTAATTTTTAATTTTAAAATCTTGTTAAATACCCCTGCGAAGCCGGGGCGGACCGCTAGTCGTATATAATTTTATCTAAAAAGCCATTATGACGTACGAATCTATATCCGAATGAGAATCACATACAAGTCATATGTGGTGTGTGTCTGTCGCATGATAATCACAATGACTACGCGTGATTATTTATCATATCATGGAATTGTATGACCATACAATTTTATAATTTATGCACATATTACGTTTATTAACAGACTCACTGTTTAAAAAATATTTCTCAAGGTGAGCTAGAATTGTAATGATCTTTAACATGCAAATTTAAAGACTTATTATGTATTCGAAATAATAATTGATGGGGCGGCCTTGTGACAATGAAATGCTTGAATTTTTAAAGCTTTATCATGAGTGAGGTTTTCAAACGTTATGATAAGGGGTTACTTAAACTAACATTGAAGCTCAGATATCAGTCCCAAACTAAGCAACGCTTGTCTAGTACCCATAGATAGACAACTGATAAAAGTAATTTTCTTAAATTTTAAAGTTTTTTTTTAGTTTTAAAAATAATTTTCTTGTTATAAATACACATTTAACACCCAGACACTAGAAAAATACTACATTCATCACACAATATTTTTCCAGTTAAGGGGGGGGCACTACTCACTACGGCATTCGGGTCGTCATAAATGGAAGAAAATAGGCAGTATAAATTGAAGCAATTAGTATGCACACGCTCACCAGCCACAAAAAAGCAACACGGTGAAGTTGCCTAGCGACCAACTTCGACCAACTTCATAGTATTACCCTGGCATTAACATTTACATTTTGACACATCAATTTTGAAATTTACCTACAATCTCTTCGTAAATGAAACAAGTTTTAATTTCTTTAGATTTTTAACCAATTTTGTCTAATAACATTGTTTGTAATTATTATAAACAATGGGAAAAATTAAATGTGTAATATTTAATAAAGAATTAAATATTAAATATACAATGTTCACCCTATTTAACATTTTATTTTTATCTCTGAAATTAAAATAGATTTTCAGTATAAAAATATTTAAATAAAATTAGGTTCATTGGAGTCTTTTTTAGTTCCAGCCTTAGTAGGGGTGTGAAAGTCTCAATGGTCGGTACTTGACCATGACATCAGTAGTTCCCATAAACTTGTGTGCACTATGCACTCTAAGGTCGAATCACTACATAGTATAAAACAAATTCATCCCACTGTCTGTCAGTCCATATGTATGCTTAGATCTTTAAAACTACGTAACGGATCTTGATGCCGTTTTAAACTTTAAGTGCTGACTTATCATGTACTCCGCGAAAAAGAAAATATATTTCGAAGATACGTGAAGTTCGCAAATCCGCAGTGGGGCCGCGTGGTGGTTATGCCCCGATACCCTCTGTATAGAGGAGGCCTTTGTCCAGCAGTGGGACATGTATAGGCTATTACTTTACATTTTATTAGAGTAATTCAAGAGGAAGGTATATTTATAATACATTGTACCCGTGCGAAGCCGGGGCAGGCTGTGCGATGGCGTATATTACCAAATCGGCAAATAGCCAATTTGGTAATATACGCCATCGCACAGTCCTATTCGAGACTGCATGCGACTCGTGTAAAGCGATAATGTTTCACGAACTGTCATATTTTTTATTTACCTACAACCAGCTATAGCTGCACTACTATCTCACCTGATGGTTGGTAAGACATTCAAGCGTAGACCTTAAGAACTCTTCCTTTTTTATTGATAGTAATTTTAAATTCTTTTCTGATTTTATAGGTACGTGCCATATTTGTTAACGGCATACATATCTGTCATTGGTGTACATATAAGAACATAATATAATGTTATATCACATTTTTTTTAATATGTGCACTGTTGGTATGTCTCATAAATAAATAAATAAATAAATGAATAAATAAATATTTTCTTAGATGCTCAACGCACTAGCTCAATATCATCTCAATGAACTTGCCTTAAAGATACATTATAATCGAGAAAATTGAGGTTGTTAGCACGCCTTTGCTTCAAACGATGATTCGCCTCCTTTTTCGTATTGCGTAAGGTGTGGAATGTGAAAAAATAAGTATAGAGTCCTGATTTTTTATAAAAAAAAAAAACACCCTTTAATGGGACTCCCACTCACAGAAAATCTGGGAGAACAAAATAGTTTCTTTACCCCACTTGCAATTCAATTTCGCTTAAAAAAATTGTTATTAACATAAACGTTAATACAATTGAAACATTTGCATCACAATACGTGCCAACTATCCTGTTATGGAGTAAAAAATATTAAAACTTAAGTAAGCTGAACGCCAAATACATTAAAATAATTTATCACATTTCTATAAACATAAATAAGGAAGTTATATCACGAGAAATGTAACGATTTTTTAATATTTACATACTTACACAATTTATGCGTTTAGAATCTACCATGATATAAGTTTTTAATGCTTATTTATATACACCTTATCTTTAAGCCATCTTTAACTTAATACCCTGCAACACATAATTTAAACATAATTTGCAAATCGTGGAAACTAAGACGTATAATGTGATCAAAGACAGCGTAGTTAATGTTGCCAAGAAGCACACCAGTTTCCATTCCAAATAATTTGCCCAGCTCATGTTGGCTGTGGGAGGCCGCAGGTGTCGTGCACCTCCATGGCGAAGAACGTGCTCTGTCCACCAAACGGCACGCTCTAGGGGACTTTGTGGCTGGTCCATCATTATCCCTCGTAAGCGGTCTGTATTCTTACGGTAGCTAAACACAAAAATCAGGTATAAGTGTGTATCTAATACCTTTAAATATTTCATTTTAAGAAAATGTCCTTTTATCGCTGTTTTCAGCGTATAAAAAATATCATTCGAATATGACGGTAAATTTCGCCGAAAAATAATTTTATAATAGCTCGGTAGGTAATCTGGCGGCCCCGAAACAAAAGGCAGCGGTTCGTGTCACGGTCATTTACACACTTATTTTTTTACTTTTGTTTCTCTACCAGATTATTGCTTTCTTTATTTTTTATTTTTTTATTTCCAAAATACACGTTTTACCAAAAATAAAACCGAATAAAAATTCGAAATAATAACAAAAAGAAAATTCGAAGATATGTGAAGCTTACTAATCCGCAGAGGGGCCACGTGTTGTATATGTCCTGATACCATCTGTACAGAGGGGGCCCTTTGCCCAACAGTAGGACATGTATTTGCTGTTACTTTACTTAAGCTAACCCAAACGTTAAAAATAAACGTCAGGATTGGAATAGTTTATGGGTTTCAATTTACCTTTTGTCCTGTATAACGGTTTTTATAGCAGTCTCAAAAATCTCTTCATTTAACACATCCAAATCGAGACGTAGGCCAATTTTGTGCCGAACGTATTTCTCGACATTGTACCACTGATCACCCAGCATGGGTATACCAATGAGTGGGACACCAGCCGTAATTGCTTCGTCTGTGGATTGTAGTCCACCTTGCGTGATAAACAGTTTAATATTTGGATGTCCTGTAAAATGTTTATTATGAGATAATGCTTTATTATTGAACAGTTTGTGATGTGACTCATATTTATGTTTGTCGTAATTTGGCTTGCATAAAGGGAAATAAACAACTTGACTCAATTCGTTTAAAGAATGGTAATTGAGTTTTCTTTTCATTACGACTCATGCACTAACATAAAGTTTTAATTTAAATGGAACTTAAATTCCATTTTAACCGTGGTAGGGCGACGCCACAGCTTCGGAAGTTGCACGAATGGGCAGGTCTGTCGGGGTAAGTGCCACGACCTTAGAAGACTGGGGTGAAGTGCAAGTGTTATACTTCTGCGTATCGTCTGGTGAGTGAGGTAGCCAGGGCCCACTTCAATTGGATACGCATATGCAACCCTATGGGTGTTGCATATGTCCACAGGGGGCAGGAGGCAATTGCTTAACATCAGTTGAACCGCCAACCCCCTTGCCACTTTCTCACATAAAAAAAAAACGATCTGTAAATATTAAGTCGGTGATATCTAGATCAACGGATGACTGATTTTTGATTGAATAATCAAAAAGCAGTTCAAAACCTCACGATGGATCAAAATAATAAAATTTACTTCTTATAAACTGTACTTACTTAATAAATCGGATTGTGGTAACCATTTTGAGATTTTAATGTTCGCCGAAGATAGAGGTAACTCGTCTTTATCCCATTTCCATAGAACATCGTAGGGTAAGCGCGAGAAAACTCTGATCATTGCTTCAATCTTGTCCAAAGGCAATAGTGAGGGTTTGACATTCGTGCCAAAACTCATATAAATCACACCGTTTTTTGAAGAGTCGAGATACGATTGAAGGTCCTGAAATGTCAAAATTTTTATTTATTAAATAACGTCTTAATGTGTTACCCAGCTTATTTTTATAACAGTTTGTTCAAAGGTCTAAAAAGCTCAGAATTCATGTATAGAATATACCTCGGGTAATATTTTTGGTTTATTTTGATGTAGGCCTCCCATATATACGACGTTTGGTGGTACAGGACGATTTTCCTCCCAAATAGGATGAACGTTTGCAAAGAACATTTCGACGTTATTATACAATTCATTTAGAATCGGAGTTTCTGGTCCGAATAACTCCTTTATTAGATCGTTTTCTTTTTCTTCAGTAGATTGTAAAAATATTTTGTAATTTATTTCCTTGTTCAACTGTACGAGTTTTTCCCACATTGTCAAATTGTATAATCGATCTCGTACAAGTGTCGGATACAGGAATGGATGTGAAGGTGACCCAAGTACTTCGTAGTTATTAGTTACCGAACCAAAAGAACTTACTGTAATTGCTGGAACTTTGAATACATAAGATAATCCAAGCACCGATCTCACACAAGCCTCTGCTAACAATAAATCGAACTGCGTATTTTTTTCGAATAAACTCTCTTGGACAACTTTGGCTTTTATTTGCTCCTTAAATATAAGAGTTACTAAATTAAATGCAGTGTGAAGTTTACTTAACCAGTTGTCCGTGGAACCGTCAGACATTTCAACGAACCTTTTCCATGCGGAGTATGACAAGTCATGAACATCGATTTCGGTTAAATTCACTGGAGCTTGACCCTTAGGGAAAGCAGGATCTGGTGTGATAACAACCACATCGTGACCACGTTTCGCCAACTCTTGCGTCAGCGGCCGAAATACAACTTGATGGCTTATCGATGGCATTGGAAAGACGGCCAATATACGCGCGGCATCGTTCGTTGTAAAAACAAAAATGAATAACACTAGATACGACGCGAACATGTTCGTTAGGCAACGACCAATCTTCTAAATAATTTTCTTTACACGGACTACTTTTAAGGCTGCTGGTAAACATTCATAATGAACCTGATTTATTATGTCAAGCAAGACTTCGTTAAACTGATGTGTTAAGTCATTGCGGAAATAAAACGCGTGAACATGAATAGCCTTTTAATTATCACGATGAGTGGGAGTAGTAATTTTTGGTTTTGGAATAATTATAAAAAGTTTCTTCAATTCTAATATTTATTTTAATTTGACCTATTTTGCTATATTTATGACTGCCCAATATATTTTTGATTACCTGCTATTAGCTGTAAATTGTAATTTTCGACGTAGAAAGTCTTCATAATTCGAACGTCTTCACAGTAAAACAATAAAGAAAAAACATAAAATCCAGTGGCATCTCGGAGTAATAAATTTTGGAGTCTTCGCTCATTTCTTTTTAGCAAACTTGCAACGAAGCTGTCTAACCCATGACTCACGCGTGCAAACGCTATGATTCTTACGTATATTTCAATACTTCATCAATAGTGATTGATTTAAATAAAAATGAGTATTTCATCCAATATACATGGGTAAAAATGACTAATAAATATAAAAAAGTGCATAAAAATTAGATACATTTAATCCCTTGGCCTCAAGCCGTACTAAGGCCAAATAGTAAGATAAATCATGCCCGTCTTTAGTAGCTAAAAGTTCAAGACCACTGAAAGGTACTTCAATATCTGGCGCAACGCGAGCGAGCTATTTTTGCGAGCGTCTCAAAGCTGCCAAGTTACGCTCAGTAAACGACGGTGACGCATTATCACTACATAGTATAAAACAAAGTCGTCCCGCTGTCTGTCTGTCCCTTTGTATGTTTAGATCTTTAAAACTACGCAACGGATCTTGATGTGGTTTTTTTACTAGATGAGTGATTCAAGGGGAAGGTATATATGTATAATACATTAAACCCGTGCGAAGCCGGGTCAGGTCACTAGTTCTAAATAAGTTTTCATGTTATACCTATTATAGTGACATTTATATAGGAAACGCTAAAAAACTACTAAAAGCAACTTGCTAACATAAACGTTTCACGTTAAATAAATGGCAGTGTGGCCATGACACAGACCCATCCAATTTTTTTCCATGAATTATTACACAATTTACTGTCAAGTATCCTTCATAAATAAATCAGTATTCCGAATAAATCAAAGTATTTTTATATTCTTAGAATTTTAAAGTAGTATTAAATTCAAAGTCTAAAGTAGTCGATTATGGTATTCTACTTCTTGTGTAACGGAGGTAAATATGAGACGTTCTATTTCAATCTTATGAATAAAAATAGCCTTGTTTATCCTCTTTATCCATCTGGAGTCTATAAAAGTTACTTGGCAAAATTTTAACCAAGCAGTACCCTGCAAAGCAGCTGCAAGGAAGCTAAGTACCTTTGCTCAACTGCAGTGGTACTCCACGTCGCTGTATTGTTTCGCTGTATTTCTAATATATTGGCAAAGAAAAGTCTGCAAAGGCTTCGCTTTTCTTTCCGCGGGGCTCATCAGGTCAATGAACAGCAACCACCAGCTAGCTTGCCGCCGCTCGCATATAAAAAAAGATCGAAAACTTTTAAAGATAGGACTCAAATCTGACCCAAAGACGTCTTATAATATAGGTACATTAGCGTTCATTGGAACACCATCATAATGCCCTGTCCACTGACAGTTGGCCCGGGACATAAAGGTGGAGCTCCGAGAAATCATACTATCGTTAGCTCGATTAAGTGTCACTTCGCTTGTGTTTGATAAGACTTAAAAAGCCGAACACTAAAAAGATATCTCTAAAAGGTTGGAACGGAGTTATTTTCGCTTTAACTTTTTTAGTAATGATTTAGTGATAAATAATGAATTAGTAGTAATCAATTAAACGCAACATAAAATTGAAGAAATCGGAATAAAGTTGTAGATTTTAACGATTGGGCCCTACCCACACAAAGAGTTCGCTGTTGCAAGAATGGGCAGATCCGTACGAGTTAGTGTCACTATCCCACAGAAGACCGGCGTGAAATAGAAGTTTTACACTTCTGCGTTTTGTCTGGTGAGTGAGGTAGCCGGGGTCCACTTTACTAAAGGGTGGTGTTGCAAATGTCCATAGGCGGCGGTTACCACTGTACATCAGCTGAACTGCCAGTTCGTTTGCCACTTTCTCACATAAAACAAAAAAAAAAGATCAGTTTCTGGAATGTTAGTGAAAAAAATATATTGATATTGTATTATTTATTAAAAACATATAGCAACAAAACTCGACGAGTTGACACGAAAACTATATGAAAATAAAATATCAAGAACAGCTGATACTCAATGTACCTCGGTGTTTCCCATTTGTGCGCATCTTCGCTTATCACTCTTTGCGCTCCCGTAAATATAATTACTTATATTTTTATTTGTATAAATAAAAATGGTATTCAAACATTGAAATTACATCCTTGCATATTCTCATAATTGACGGCAAGCTGAATTGATTGAAAAAAAGTTCTATAGGTGATTAGAAAATACCTCGAAAATAGCAGAAAAAGATGTTGATATTTTTGTGTCGTTTTTATTGTCACATTTTTCGGTCTAGTTCCTCAGCCCGCCAACAAATAAGAAAGATATCATACGCCAAGGAAATCCGTTCCAAAAAAAAAACTCTTAGCAGACAACCTATCAGAGCTCTGGACCGACAAATAATTAAAAACAGGGAAACGATAAAATTAGCACAAGGTCTCACTCCATCTAATTTGATTAATACGAATTCGTCTTAAAACTGCTACCAGTATATTAAAATATACATATACGATATATTCATATCGTCCTTATCACTTGCAATAATTATATCTGCAAAGAAGTGTGCAAATGAGTTTATAATACGATTATTATTGTTCGGATGATAATCACGATGAGTACACGTGAATATTTATGTGTGTTATTTATCTTCTTTAATGTAATAAATAAGTGAAATCGGTTTGTCTGTTCATTGAATATATTTATGTAAAATGAAATATTGTCTCGCAAAAAGAGTCGTAGGAAACGTAAAATCCATTTTTGATCTGTGGGTCTCTTCGCTTAAAACTTCAAAGCTACGCATCAGATATTTTTAAATTTAAGATAACTATTGTGCAATATTAAAGCTTTTTTTCATTGTAATCAGTTTTCTCTGACGATATGCGAGTATTTATAAATCACAGGATCGGTTTGTATGGGGTTTTTGACAGCGTGACAGTAACCTCCTTGCAATATTTTGTTTCGTTTTATCACAATCAGTTCACTCAAATTGAAGATATACGTAATAAACTAATAGATCAATTTAAACAGTTTTCAATGAAATAGCTCGCAATAGAAAAAAAAATTACCTTCCATACCTATTCAGCGGTCATAATTATTAGCCCCAGAAGGCAAAAACATGAAGATTATATATATATAGTTGTGATATTTGATTGTACAGATCTGTGTATTTCTTTCAGAAATTTACACTGTTATACGAGGACGTAGTCGCGGTTAGTAGCTAGTATAAATAAAATTGTTTACGCATCAAATTTTATAATTTATGCAGAATCCGACTTATTTCTATTTAAAGACTTAGACATTTAAAATAAAATCATTTACACAAGGACAGCTACAGTTTTTATCTTAAATATGCAAATTACAAAACTTTATTCTATTCAAAATAGTTTTTGGTGACGGGGCGGACTTTTAACAATGAAATACTTAAATAGCCTACTGGACTCATATCAAATTTGAGTCTCTAAAAGAGTACTTCATGCAGTATTACATATACAAAAACCGAGATATATTGATTTTGGTTCATAAAAGCGCAAGATGACTGTACCACTTCAATGCAAAAATTGCTACTTTTTTTGTTCTAAACGCTGAAAAGGCTTGCGGCCATGATGTGACGTCACATAACTTGTAAACAAACCGTTGTAAATGATACGCGTGTGGTTATTTTAAAAATGTCAAATGATTGCTTACAATACAAATGGCGTCAAAACACAGATCCATATAGTAACATGGCGGACGCCGATTTCGCCTGTTTAGGAAAGCATTTTTAAAGTAAAGTTTTATCTTGTTACAGGTTGGTAGTTTTTGGTACTATTTGGTAATTTGTTTTTACTAGTGGTAATTTACTAATGGTATTTTTTTTATCTAATCAAAGGTTGATTAATCATTTGAGATCTACTTTAAAAAGAGTGACGTAGCCTAGCGCTTTAGCATAAACCAGTTCTACGAATTGTGTTCTTGAACCTTTACTTAAACCGACATTAATGTCCTAAAAATTAATATCAATACAATAACCTATTGACGATCACTAAAACGTTTGGGGACTACCACTACCTAACAAACACTATTAACGGGATAAACAAAAAATAATAATGTTTGAATTGATATTTTGCTGGTTATTTCTTGTCAAAACAAAATATTAATATTATTTGTGATTTATGGAATGCTCAATTAACATTATTTCAAAGTATGTACTTCGTCTAAAAATCACACTGTAAAATATATACAAATAAGGAAAATAAAGGAATATATAAAACAATTTTTATTGAAGTGAAACTTCTTTATCGGGGTTGGAAAAAAATTTTGTGTAACATTTTTGCGTTACGCGCCATCTTTTTATTAGTGGTTTTAATAGTTGACGCTAGATGGCGTTAGTTCCTTTGTGTGTTCATAACAATATATATATATATATATATATATATATATATATATATATATATATGTTATATTAAAGTGATCAGCAAAATCAAAGGGTTTATTTTAATTCTAATTCTAAAATGTAAACAATATATTTCGTATTTCAGTTACCATTAAAAACACAAATATATAATAACGACATCAATGATAGTAAAAATTCTATTACAATTAATGAAATTCAATAATAATATTTGTAGTAATGACAGTGCTAGCTGTAATACTTCAGAGCACGAATGCTCTTCGAAGCCTCGATCGGCTTCTGGAACTTGCGGTTGCGACGTCGATCCAACGTCCGCAAGTTCGGTTTTCCAAAAAAACTTCACTCACAACACTCGTCTGTCGAAATGTCAAAAAAGAAGAAGAGAAAAAAAGTCGAATGTCTGCCTTCTACTCACTGGCTGACTATTCGGCAACGAAGGACCATGTACAAATTCAAAGCGGTTGTATTTAAAATAAACAAGGTTCACGTTGCAAGTTTTTTAATCAACAATTTTTGCGGACCCTCATACTAATTACAACGGTCAAACCATAGTGTGTTTTCATTTACTACTAACGCCACCTATGTATTAAATATTATACAAAGCTAAAATGAAATAATTGTAGAATTTGTATTTATGTCTATGATAGTAAAAGCCTTTTATATTTGGTTTGTTATACGATATTAAATAAAATTCTTTATATGCGCAAGCAGTGCTTTTAATTAAAGAAAAAAAAAGTAATTTAGATAAAAGGTATTCAAACTTTCATCGGTGTAGCAATCAGCCGTATGGCTTAATAGTTAAATGGCCTAGGCGCGAATCCGAAACACGCGGATTCGGTTCCCGCAGCGGCGAAACAATTTTTGTACTTTTCTATTAATATGACAGATTTATCTTTGTTAGAACTTGATTCATGATATATCCCTATCACTAGAAACTCTACCCGTCAAAATTACGGATTTGCCACTACTTCCATATCGGCTACATATCAGATGGTCGTTCCTGGTTAACTTCTTACAATGGATAGAGACACTTAGCAGTCAAGAAGAAATAACATTTGCTTTTCAACGTGATTTTAATATTCATTAACTATTATTATTAATTAACTAATACTGTTTTAAGGCAAAGTTCAATACAAAACACTTGACAGTTGTTCTATTATGTAGTAAGAATTATCGTCACTAAGTTGAACACTGAATTTTAACTTATTTTATTTTGAAATAAATTGTCACACTTCAATAAACATAAATAAGTACTAATTTTGGCAATAAGTATTACTAACGATAAAACAGTTATAATTATCACGTAAAAAAAGGATTTTGTAACATTTACATACCTAAGAATGCTACTTTATGTACAACTTAATCTTAAGCCGTCTTAATTTTAACATTGTGCAGCACATACTTTAGAGCAAATTTCCAAATCGTCGACACTAAGACGTACAATGTGATCAAAGCCAGCGTACTTAATGTTGCCGAGAAGCACACCAGTTTCCATTCCAAATAATCTGCCCAGCTCATGTTGGCTGTGGGAGGCCGCAGGTGTCGTGCACCTCCATGGCGAAGAACGTGCTCTGTCCACCAAACGGCACGCTCTAGGGGACTTTGTGGCTGGTCCATCATTATCCCTCGTAAACGGGCTACGTTCTTACGGTAGCTAAACAGAGAAATATTATGCATTAGAGTGTGTGTACTGTACTGTTGGACTCGTAAACTGCATCAAATTTCAGCATGCCTTTGAAATGAATATTATTATTGAATATTGGAACCTTTTTTCGATACATTTAGTTTAAAAAAATATACTAAATAATTTCAACAAATAAAATAAATGTCTATTGACGCGAAAAGAAAATTTTCGTATATTATCAGATTTGTGCGTTAATATGGTATAACGTTTAAATTTGATTTGAGCCAACTCTTTAGTCTCGAGCTTATAGAATAAGGCTAAGGTATCCCTTTGTCTCTGTGAATCGAATTATCGTTACAAATTGAATTATTGTGTAGTCTTTGCTATATTAAGAAGACTTTTCTTGACGTAATACGGACGCTTTTTGGATGTTAGCCGCACAAATTACTACATCGGTGTGGTTAATATTACTACATTGGTCGGCTTGGGAACGAATACTAGAAATTTTATTGTAACCCAATCTAAGGCTTCTCCATATCGAATATACAGAAGGTTGGGACAGCTTCTTACAAAATACCTACCCCTCGTAATGACAAGATTATTGTCAGAACTTATACACGAAATCCTTTTTAAGCGCAATCAATTAGAATTAAACACAGCTAAATTAGGTACGCGGTATACCTGTAAGTAGGGCGGTAAGAAGGCGGATAATAAAGAGAGTATCACTACTTTTAGAACAGCTCATGGTGCAAACTGCTGGGTAAAGGCCCCCTCTGTACAGAGGGTAGTCAGGGCATAGTCCACCACACGGCGCCACAGCGGATTGGCGGACTTCACATATTTCCGAAAATTTTTTTTTGTTATTATTTCGAAAATATGCAGATTTCCTCACGATGTTTTCCATAACCGCCGAAGATGAGATAAGTACAGTTAATACTCAATACCTTAAATATCTTATAACCGAGATTTTTATTTGATAACTTCCGTATGCAACAACACAATTGCTTACTCGATTTATTTGTGTTAAAACAAGTTAACTCAAAGGTTATGATTTAATGGGTTTATGAGTATTCAATTACCTTTTGTCCTGTATAACGGTTTTTATAGCATTCTCAAATATCTCTTCATTTATTATATCCAAATCCAGACGTAGGCCAATTTTGTGCCGAACGTATTTCTCGACATTGTACCATTGATCACCCAGCATGGGTATACCAATGAGCGGGACTCCAGCCATAATTGCTTCGTCTGTGGATTGCAACCCTCCTTGGGTGATGAATAGTTTGATATTTGGGTGTCCTGTCAAACATTCATTATAACATAAGGGTTTATTATTGTACTACACTCGAATTAAATGGCAGAGACGAAGATAAAAATCACAAGATAAATATGAAAATAGTTAAAGTTTGTAGTTAAAGACTTTGTAGTTAGATATGAGTATTATCTCTCTATATGATGGTTAATAACTCCACAATATAAGAAGTAATTCTGAACTAGAAAAATAGTTTAAATAGTTCGTGTTTGCTTATAGGGATGCAAATATGTGCACTAAATTGTTTTAAATAAAGTTAATTGAGTTTTTCTTTTAATTTCAACTTACGTACTAAAATTAAGTTAAAAAATTAAGTTTTCTACTACACAAAGCAGTGCTAAAACTGAAAATGAACCAAAATATAAAATTTACTCCTTGTAATTTACTTACTCAATAAATCGGATTGTGGTAACCATTTTGAGATTTTGATGTTTACCGAACGTTGAGGTAGTTCATCTTTGTCCCATTTCCATAGAACATCATAAGGTAAGTGCGAGAAAACTCTGATCATAGCTTCAATCTTGCTCACAGGTAACAGTGAAGGTTTTACATTGGTCCCGAAACTTACATAAATCACACCGTTTTTCGAAGAGTCCAGATACGATTGAAGGTCCTAAAATGTTAGGAGTTTTGTTAATGTATTGCAACTTTAAAATTTTTATAGCAATTATTTCAAAGGCTTTAAAAACTCAGTTCGAGTTTACACAAATAAACTTTAACTATCAAAATAACTGTAAAATATAAAGCGAAATACGAAAATATATTATATACCTCGGGTAACGTTTTTGGTTTATTTTGATGCAGGCCTCCCATATATACGACGTTTGGTGGTACAGGACGATTGTCCTCCCAAATAGGATGAACATTTGCAAAGAACATTTCAACGTTATTATACAATTCATTAATAGTTGGAGTTTCAGGTCCAAATAACTGTTTTATTAGAGCATTGTCTTTTTCTTTAGTAGATTGCAAAAGCATATTGAAAGTTATTTCCTTGTTCAGCTGTACTACTTTTTCCCACAAAGTCAAATTGTAAAATCGATCCCTTATAAGTGTCGGATAAAGGAACGGATGTGAAGGTGCTCCAACAATTTCGTAGTCTTTAGTTGCTGAGCCAAAAGAACTTACCATAATTGTTGGAACTTTAAAAAAATAAGATAATCCCAGTACTGGTCTCACACAAGCCTCTGCTAGCAGTAAATCGAACTGAGTTCTTTTTTCGAATAAAGTTTCTTGAACAACTTTGGTCTTCATTTGCTCCTTAAAAACCATACTTAACAAATTGATTGCAGTTTCAAGTTTACTTAGCCAATTATCAGTAGAACCGTCAGACATTTCAACGAATCTTTTCCATGCGGAGTATGACAAGTCATGAACATCGATTTCGGTTAAATTCACTGGGGCTTGCCCCTTAGGGAAGGCGGGATCTGGTGTGATTACAACCACATCGTGACCACGTTTAGCTAACTCTTGCGTTAGCGACCGAAATACAACTTGATGGCTTATGGATGGCGTTGGAAAGACAGCCAAGATACGTGCGGCGTCATTCGTTGTAAAGGCAAAAGTTAATAAAACTAAACACGAAGCAAACATGTTCCTTAGGCAACGACTAATTCTCTAAACAATTTCCTTAACACGTACTGATTTAAAGGCTTCTGTTGAACGATTGAATGATACGTAATGAATGTTATCAAATATATTATGACAAGCATGACTTCGCTAAACCGATGAGATAAATTAATTGCGGAAATGAAACGAGTGAATCTTGTTTTGATTGTCACGAGGATTAGGAGTGATCGTTTCCGCTTTAGTCTTTAGTGTCATACATATTTATGACACCATGTCAGAAAAAAAGGCGACTCGAATAATCTGAACACGATATAAAAAATCATATCGGGATATAATGACGCGATAAACAACAATAGTGATTCGCAGTGGCGGTTATTTATTTTAAATGCAAAATTGATAAATGCAGGCGTTAAGTGAAGTATTTGTACAATGAAAATTAAGTTATTATTAACGTGTGAGAAACGGTCGAAATATCGCCATAAAGCCACGGCATAAACACCTTAAGGAGCTAACGGATACAAGAAGAGCCTGAAGCTAATTCATCGACCAGGATAAAGCGGCAGTAGATCAACGGCAACAAGGTGGTGTGCTTCACGCCAGTTTATATCCTTAGTCGCTGATTACAGCGTTCCCTCAAACCCCTCGAACTTAATAAGGCACCCGTGGCAGAGCGTCTTATCAATATACGTGTGGTCGAGTCCCCACCAGAAATATTGACACAATCGGGTTTGTGTTACAAATTTGATAATGATTTAGGCGCTGTGTGTTCTTGTATGAAAGAAAACAGCGAATAGATTTAGTGGTAATCGAACTGATAATGTTGTGTCCTTAGTAGGTATAGGTAATAAAAATTTTACTTACATTGTACTGTTTCATTTTAAAACTAATTCTTAGAAATTTAGTTATATATGTTACCAGCCAAACCCAATTTTAGGTTTTGCCTATGCCCGATAGGATGTTTATCCTATCGGGCATAGGCAGGATCAACTAGTTTGGCCTTGCCTAAATTAGTCTATCCTATCGGGCTTAGGACAAATTAGTTTGGACTAGGCTAAACTAGTTACTCCTATCGCGTATAGGAAAAACTAGTTTAGCCTAGGCAAAACTAGTTTGTCCTAAAATTGGGTTTGGTCGGTAACATATATAATCCTATTTTTCGTTTATGTTTCAAATCATTTTTTTTTTTAATTTATTGTATGCAACTTTAAGCTCCTAAGACGGAGTCTTTGACGTAGTTATAACGTTTCTACGTGATTTATTCTGCCGTGAGCTTAGTGTTAATATTTTATTTGTGTTGGACTTGTTTGTTAGCATTCGACTTTTTTTTTCAAAGTATTTATACTTATCTATAAAAATGGCAAAAAATCATATCTGCTGTATAGGAGCCGAACTGAAATATTTGTTTATGTTATTTTTTAGTTTTTTATTTCTTGTTATAGGGCAACAGAAATACATCATCTGTGAAAATTTGAACTGTTTAACTATCACTGTTCATGAGATACAGCCTGGAGACATACAGACTGACAGACAGACAGCGGGGTCATAGTAATAGGGTCCCGTTTTAGCCTTTCGGTAAGAAACCCTAAAAACGGAATCAAACATATTAGTAAAATTACATACTTAGTAATTTATTTATCTATTTCTAATTTTTTAAGTTATAAATGTTGATTGCTATATCTTAATGTCGTTAAAAATGATTGTACCTACATTATGCTCACGATCTTGTTCGAAAAATTCCTGAGGTCAAATACTGATTGTGAATCTGAGTAATACATTCATTGCCATACGGAAAATTTAAATTTCAATGAGCAAAATTTTTATTTTATTTAATTTAGTGTTTGTTTTTGGTCAATACGTCATTTATATACCTTTATATTATGTAAATAAGATATTATGTACCCTTATTATATATCAAGCCTTGTAGTCGAGAACGCTCTATCGCATAATATGCAATTCAGAAAAATAAGTTGTGTTTACCAATACAAAACCCCAGTAATAAAAATAATAAAACAATAAAAGTTTAATAATCAACCAAATTTTATAAGTATAATCAAATATACAATAATAAATGTATACTGTGTACCGTGTGTGTATAAATATATAGTGTTATATTTTGTTGTATTTGTTCCCTCTGTTACGACTCCTTAACAGAAGGATAATAAAATACGTTTACTCGGTAATTCATACATTGCAACACTAACGCGTGTCTGCGACTGAGTGCGTGACGACTCCCCCATTGTCCACTTGCTGAATTAAGGCTACACTCTTCTCTTCTCTTCACGAGTTCCCATTCACAGACCCGGGTGCATCATACACGACTTGATATCATCAAACTATTAATTCAAACTTAAAGTCGATGGCGCCCTTTCCTACTTTTTTTTTTCATCATTTTCCTACTCACCCCGGCATACAAGTATAGATTCCGTTCCGCTTTTTAGTTCAGCCGTGAGAAGTGAGAGCGCCTATTATTAAACATTACACAAAAAAAGTCTTAAATTCATATTGTTCGGCCAACCACGGAAGACCAAGTCTAAGTATTTAGATGTCCCAATCTAAAATAATCTTTCATTTAGACATTACCTGTTACCCCCACACGAACATCTAGTTAATTAATACTGAGACGCAAATGATATTTATAAATGGTATATTTATAAAATATACGAACTATGTAAGTATCTGTTTCACGGGGGAAATAAATCCTTCTATTTCAAGCCATTTATACCCGCGTCAAGTGCCTCAAAACTGATTCACTTTAGAAATGAATTCAATTTCTGAACGAAGATGCCGACGATTAACTAAAGGACACATAAAAACACTTTTATTTTTTTTTATTTTTCAGCTACATCGTACGTTTTTTTTTGTTTTTTTTTTATTATTCTCATGTTTATTATACAAAGTGCATGTTTCCACAGAAAATTACATAATTGGGATTTCGACAAAAATGTTCTTCTTTTAAATCGAAACATCGAATACATTATTTACGTTTTGTTGTTATTGATAAGTCATACAAATTTAACATATTTAGTGAAAGTTTTAATAAAACATTTTTAAGATACAAAAGACTTATCTTCTTTCTGCATCTACTTGGATGACTGTCGATCATGATGTCTGTCGGATGTATAGCATCTACCCGTCAAAATTTCGGCTTTGCGTCAGTTTGCATAATTATAAGCGACATGTCAGATTTTTTATGTGATAAGTTGTCAAGAGGTTCAGCTGATGTTAAATGAATCACCCATCGACATCTGATACATCTGAGGGTTGCAGATAATAATATAATAATAATGGACAAACTTTTGAAAATTGGGCTCCGACTAACTCACTCGCGAGTCGTAACGCCAACGCCCAACTGTGGTAGGGCCACGATGGTACGTTCCTGGATTCTTTTATCTCTCTTCAATCAATGGATACTACACCGAGCACATTTCAAGAAAGAATCGCATTTGCTTTGTCCCCGTGATTAATGTCGTCCTTGTGATATAAACTAACTAATTTTGTTTAAGGGCAAAGTTACACACAAAGTAACAGAACACGTGACAATGATCCTACTACGTAGTTAAAACTTAAAATCTTCACTAAGTTGAACGCCGATTCTAAACGTATTTTATTTAAAAAATTAATCACATTTCAATCAACAAATATAAGTACTTAAGAAATAATTATTAACTATTTTCAACTTTAGGCTCCATTTGAAAATCAGCGCTGCGGTACAATAGAACTGCAGCATTTTGCTGAAATGGAGTTCCAATTTGTTGTCACAATTGTTATTTTTCTGTTTATTTTTAACATGTATTATTTAAGTGATGTCAAATAAAAAGATTTTCTTTCTTTCTTTGTTCTTATTTAAACCAGTTAGATAATGAAAAAACCTAATGACTGAAATATTTACATACTCTACTTATCCGTGTAGAAAATACCATCTTTTTAAAATACCATCATACCTGACTTTTGAATGCTGCTTTACATACACCTTATCGTTAACTCATCTTAAACTTAGCACTCTGAAACACATAATTTACAGCAAATTTCCAAATTGTCGAGACTAAGGCGTACAATGTGATCAAAGACAGCGTAGTTAATGTTGCCAAGAAGCACACCAGTTTCCATTCCAAATAATCTGCCCAGCTCATGTTGGCTGTGGGAGGCCGCAGGTGTCGTGCACCTCCATGGCGAAGAACGTGCTCTGTCCACCAAACGGCACGCTCTAGCGCACTTTGCGGCTGGTCCATCATTATCTCTCGTAAACGGGCTACGTTCTTACGGTAGCTGTGCACAAATAAAAATTTATACAGCATATAACTACTTACTGC